CCTCTCCAAATAGCGTGAAATTTGATGTAATAACACACAATAAACACACTACATGATCTTGTTCATATCGCCAGGTTAAAAATGTATATATACAGGGTGTCCGCAAAGTTAGGGTTTTCCTTTACACGACGTGTAGATCTTGAAAACATAAGCAATTTTTCTTAGTACCATATACACCAATGTCTTAAGGGAACCGAGATAAAGGGCTCTGCAACATCAAAAATATCTGAATATCGTCCTGTAGCCGCGACATCCCCCAGTGGTACTAGGACACTAGCTCAACCCGACGACAGAACTGGGTCGGGGTCAGTGTGTCAGGTCAGTATGCAACCTTCAACCGACGGTTACGGTCACGCGTGTAGAGATAATCGCGTAGACGTGAATCCCTCAACAAGCACTAGAGACGTGGCTAGAGAAGTGCAAGTATCAAAAACTAAAGTGTGGCAAACGCTGCGTGAAAAGGGGCTGTATCCGTTTCACGTCCAACGTGTACAAGCCCTTCAACCTGACGATTTTCCAGCAAGAGTGCGGTTTTGTGAGTGGTTGTTGCATCAACATGACAATAATCCGGACTTTTTGAAGTGCATATTGGTGACAGACGAATCTACGTTCACGCGTAGTGGAGTGAATAACTTTCGCAACACTCATGTTTGGTCACTAGAAAATCCGCACGCTGTCCGTCGGACACATTTTCAACAAACGTTTTCGGTGAATGTTTGGGCTGGCATGGTGAACGGTATGCTCATTGGACCATTTATTCTCCCAAATCGATTGGACGGGATGCAATACCTAGACTTTTTACGAAACATTTTGCCTTCCTTGTTTGCCTGCGTCTGCTCGGTAGCGCATCAGCTGATTTCATTTTCTGTTGGAGCGGTATGATTTCGGGCAGAGACGTACTTAGCCCGTCTCGTCAACTGGAGAGTGAGTACTTTTTCCTTTATTTTTTTTACTTGGTCGCCCTCGTTTCACTACACATTACCTTTGTTATTTCAAGGGTAGTTGTTTCTGAAAAGGAAAACCCCAACTTTGCGGACACCCTGTATATAAGGTGTTTCAAACTCGAATTTCACTATTGAGATCTCGGAAAAAGCTCCGCAACCCGCAAAAAAATGGCGTCAAGTAATGACCCTACACTTCCTATGCAACACTTTCAATAATTCATATAAGAATATTCGGCGCAAGTTAGTTCCTCTTAGAAAAACATTGACTACGAATATGTATATCACAAGAACTAAATGGATCATATCAGTCAAAGAGTCACAGACAATCAATCCATAGTCCAACAATGCTTTGTAGTCTACCGCCCGACCACCCAGTTACGTCGCAATCTAGCCCGGTGTTATACGCGTGAATACACGCATCATCGTTCAGTCATCCCTCAGTATTCAAAGCAGAGAGAGACGTACGCTCGTTGACTTGACAAAATGAACTTTGGGCGATTTTTTTTAGTTTTTAGCCTTCTCCTCTGCCGCCACCGGATCGACACACCGCAGACCGGCGGATTGACAGACACACCGACAGACTGGCAGACAGACTGATGCAAATGATTGACATGATTTTTCGTGATCAAGATATCATATATAATATCCAAAAACAATAATATATCATTTTATAAGTTTTTCACTTTTACAATACTTCCACGCCAGTGGCATAAAAATTAAACAGAACAGAATTGCCCAAAATCATTTTTTATTTGTTCCTGACTTAATTTCGTTGAGGTGGGACAGACAATTGTATACTAACACTGCCACTTTTTCCCTTCTAGAAGAAGAAATAATTTGAATTTCGAGTGTCAATTCGTTCCTTGTCCTTCGACATCAACTTTATCTTTCTTATAAGCGCCATATTGGTTTTTAACGCTGAATGTTTATAGCTTTACAATCTTAATGTATGGATATTTTTGATATTAGAATTAAAAACTCTATTTACTATGCACAATTTCAATGTGGCGGTGATAGGAAAAATGATGATGATAATGAAGGACAAGATACAAGACGTCATATTAAAATTCTAATCACTCTACCCTGTAAATGACAAAAAGTGGCAATGTTGATGTGCAATTCATTTCGAAATTCCAATCCATTACATCAAAAAAAAAACTAAAATCATTCTTACCGTCTATTTCCGGCAGTAATCTGAATTTCGGAACATTCTAAGCGCTATCTTTTTATTTGAACGCGCACTTTGTCTCCATTTATCATACCTCGTATTTCTTACAGTTTTCAAGATCCCAATGGTGAGAGTCAAATTTGAGTCACTCAGTCAAACTACGAAAACGTTTACATAATTCTCGTTTTTCGGATAACAAAGCTTTTAAAGCTTCAAATGCGGATCCCAGAGCTTTCAGCTAGTTGCTACTTATAATTTTCAGGAGCACTTTAACACTATTAGAAGAGTTTGTAACAGGTCATTAGAGCTGATTTTGGTTTGATAATGTGTAGTATAACATCTGAAACTTATCCTGCGGTTAACATGTCGATAATAATAATAATAATAATAATAATAATAATAATAAATGGTCTTTATTCATCATTATAAATTACTTGAGGAAAATTAAAGATAAAATGATGAAAGGCGTAGTTCAGCCTAAGCTGCTTTTCAACTAAACCCATGCTTATCCGGCCAATAAAACCACGTGTATTGACAGATCTTTTTTTCTGTAGTAAACGTTTCAATTACACATGTGATCCTGTTCAGAACAATGACATAATTATATTTATATTATATATATTTATATTATATATATTTATATAATTATATTAGTCTGAAAGCTGCTGAGATTTTTAAGTTTGCATAAAAATTAACCGATGTGCTACGACAGCAGATCTGGGTGGGTTTACTGGTTTATTTTTTAAGGCTTTTTCCGTTTTCGGAACGATGCTTGAGGGTAACGTATCTGGTACAATAAAGAACAACATTATAGCCAAGAAGCTATTCGCGTTTCTTTTTGGAGGACTGGGATTGGGAATGGCTACCGCAGGCTATGCTGGTTTTGCATGGCGCCAACTTAAAATTCGGAATGATGACTTCACGCAATCTCAGCGTGTTACGGGACTTTCAGACTATTGTAGTGGCACACTGCATAGGAATGTGATAACGAAAAGAAAAAACGAACTGTCACCTGGAAGTCAGATACATCAAATATATGTCACCGTTGTGATCGAAATGTTTACTACAGAAAAAAAGCTCTGTCAATACATGTACGAGCCCCTTCCCACTTCAGTTGGCCCAACTATTGAAATCTTAGTTTTTTTCTTATCAAACACAAATAAAATAATAAAAATGTAGCAGGGTGTTATAGGTTTAAACTATTAGCAATGAATATTTTGATAATATATAGTAGAAAACACCAACTATATCACTCCCTAATCAAATTTGCAGCATAAAAATAACACATGTTGCAATTACAGCATATCAACCTATTTTCATTTCAATGCAAAATAAGTCTATAACGCATAGGTGGCTGTGAAAAATAAAAGCCATGAAAATTGTTTTCACTAATCACAGCTGTCACAATACGTTTAAAATAGTTTTGGGTAGTTAAGGTTTTCAAAATGGGTAGAGGAAAGGTTATTAGTGAGAAATTTTTTTAATTCTGGGAAATCAAACTCAGAAATTGCAACTTTGTTAGACTTATTGCGGTACAGTGTGAGAAATATTGTTAGAAGATATAACGTAACTGGTTCAGTTAATATTAAGCCACGATATGTGAATAAAAGTAATATCACAAATGCCGACCGAAGAGCATTAAGAAGAATAATCGCGAAAAACAGGCGTGCTAATCGTTTACAATTAAGTGCTCTGTGGAGTGACACTGTTGGAAGGACAATTTCGAGGTCCACAACTCATTGTGAGGCCCACAAACTGGGATTTAGCACTTGCAAGGTAAGTTTTCTTATAAAAAAAAGTGAAGTAAAAACCCTAAAGTTGCACAACTTGTTTATAGGCCAAAGAAAAGCCGCTATTAGCTCCACTACAGAAGAAAAATCGGCTTAGATTGGCTAAAGAACATAGACAATGTACACCTCAACAATAGTGTGTAATACAATGGAGTGATGAGGCACGATTCGAAGTTTGTGTTCGTGACAGTCGCAGTAGAGTTATTCGCAAAAAAATGAGACATTCCATGTTGACTGTCTGAAGAGAAAAGTGAAATTTCCAGCATCCATTATAGTCTGGAGCAGTATGTCATCAAAAGGAGTAGGAAAACTTCATTTTATTGATGGAAATGTGGAGACAAACAAATATTTGGCAATTTTAGAAGAATCGCTTTTACCAGTGATGGAAGAATGTTTAACATCCGGCCAAGATTTTGTCAAAAAAGGCTATAAAATGGATGGAAGAAAATAATGTACCACTTTTGAAATGGGTTTCTAGAAGTCCAGATCTGTCACCTATTGAAACTTTGTGGCACGAGATGAAAAAGGTTCTACGACAACATCCTGCTCGTACATCACCGAACTGAGACAAAAGCTTCAAGAAATATGGGATTGTTTTACACCAAATTTTTGCCAAAACTTGGTTAACACTATGCCCCAAAGAATTTCAGCCGTAATAAAAAATAAAGGTGATGTTACCCAATGGTAATCTTTCAAGTGTTGCTTTGTTAACTTCGCGCATTGTTTATTTGTTCAGTTGTTCTATTAGTTATAGGTCTAAGTGATTTCAAATATGAAGTGTCTTTGAGAAAATAAATTGTTTTAGAAGTAAATAGTTTCATCATGTTTAGTTTATAAAGGCATATTTTGGTACAAATCTTGAAGTGGGCCAACTGAAGTGGGAAGGGGCTCGTAGTTGTATTGGCCACAAAAGCATTAGGGACTATAAACCGCAATTTCTCAACATGTCCTGATTCCATAAATAATTTTGGTGGAACAAGTTTTCCTCAATCTTTAGTAAGATGGAAAACATATCCACCAGTCATTTTACATGTACTTATAGCTTCAATATGGATTACAATTATAGATTATGCTGTCTTATATATTTGTTTGTTACAGATATCTACATTGATACCAAAGCGACAAGAAAACGACAGCAATAATAATTTCTCAATGCCACCTTATCCAAACTACTACCTCCCTAACAGTTTGTCGAGAAACGTAATAGAAGATTACAGAATACCTAGGATTCCTATCGAACCAGCAGAATCCATAGAGCATTTACCTACATCAAACTTAATAAGTAATTTCAGCAGAAACTTCAGTCAAACGGATTTTGAGAATGTCCTTCCAAGACCTCCTATGCATCAGACGGAAGTTCGATCACAAGGTAACTACATAGTATCTTACAACCGATTTCTTCGGTCTTTCATTTTGGGCTTTGTCAAACAAAGGGAGGATTGAAAAATTGTTGCCATCTCACTTACTACTAATGTTCATAGAATAAGCTCTTTCTATTTTCCTCCTAAAACTATTGCAGGTTTGAAGGATACTGAAGCCAGCAAGAGCTTAGTGCTCAATGCAGATCCCATCAAAACTGAAGAAAGCAGGCTACTATGGAACACACCTATCCAAGATCGCTTAAAGTTGTCAGAAGATAAAGGCAGGAGAGACAAAGAGTCGATCTCTTCGATATCTTCAAACGAGAATAGCCGACAAGAAAGCACAGAAACAGGCAATGCGGACCAGAAAGGTCAACGATACGATAAGCAAAAGCCGTTCAAGTGCGAGGATTGTGGAAAATGTTTCAGTCAGCTAAGGAATTACAAGTACCACAGGTAAGAGACTAAGATTACATACTTCAGATATGGCATGTGCGGCTTGCTTATATGGCAAGGCGATTGCTTGTTGTTTTTTTAATGAATTCTGATTAATTTTCAGGAATGTTTGTTGTTTTTATAGAGTTCATTTTGTGTCATGCTTCTTATGGTTGGCAGAGAATCTGTGCTAAGCTACACGTCTATTTGATTCTGCTTGGTTTCAGGCATTTTGAATATCTGAAATGATTTCCATACCCTTCAAAATCGGTAGGAATCTTAGATACAAGTCAAACATGTGTTTTCTCGAAGCACAGAGAACTATGCCGTAAAATGATCACGCTTGAAATTCAGCGCAAATGCCGTAGTACAAACTCAATTGGGAAAAAATCAGTTATACAGTAATAGCAGTAGGGAGGGAAGCATGAAAACTAGGCCACCTTTGGTCGCCTTTGACGACCATGGTCACCAGTCCTAAACATAACGTCAAAACAAACATCAAAGGTCGGTGTCGTGGCTGAAAGACCTTCGAACTGAGATCCGTGCAGTGAACGAAGAAGACTGAGAATTTGCTAGTGGATGGATTGCCAGTGTAGATGCTAGTATGAAAGAAGGTTAGACTGGTGTGTGTGTGTGGTGTATATAAGAACAATAGAGTATTCATGGAATTGATGAAAAGGGTAGAGGACGTATCGTCCAATACTGTACATGGTAGGTGGCTACATGGATATGCTTTGAAACGGCTAATGAGTCGCCAGAGCATCGTTAGCCTTGATGGATCAACATCGCATCAACCGTTTACCTTGGCCAACACGATCGCCTGACCTATTTCCAATTGAACATGTATGGGACATGATGGGTCGCAGGCTCTTAAATTTGCAACACCCTCCACAGACTTTAGCAGCTCTTACTTACGAAGTTACAGTAGCCTGAAATGAGATAGCCCCCAACAGGATGTCGACCACCTTATCAGCACGATGCCCAGGCGTGTCAATGGGTCTATAAGCAATCGTGGATCCTCAACACATTATTGAACTAGCGTCTGCAGTGAGTTGACAACTCAAGCTGAAAATTTAATCATTTTACTAGTAAGAGACACTGCACATATATGCCAAAAATTATTAAAATCGGATAAACATACATAGGTGTTTACCTTTCTTTGTCACTCAGCGGATGAGAACGCAAAATTGGGACAAGAAAAGCAGGAAATTCGATGCAAGACTGTATGGGTATATAATAAGGGGGTACTGAAAGTTAGAATGAAAGGGCAAATAATGATAGAATGGTAGACAAAGTAGGATGCTAGTGAGAAAAGAAAGGAAGTAATAACGCATGCAAGGAGGTCGGGGAAGGCAGACTGGACCAACCTCCGACTTAGACATGATAATTTTCCTGCTTACTTGCATAAGTTTGATTTGATGAACTAAATAGGTGAATGTGAGTGTTGCAGTGAAACAAAGAGTGAGGGGGAGCGTGATAAGAAGTTGTGGAAATCTTAGACCACAACTAAAATTAGTAGTTACGCGGTGGATACTTGGAAAGAGTGAGCAAGTATAGTGACCCGCCACTTTGCCAGAAAGACGCTTTTTTGCTTTCTTTATATTTATACCACTACCAGTCTGTTTTATTGCTACATCTCTCGTCTATCAAACTTAGCCTTGATACATGGCGCAATTTCCTAGAAAGCGGAATGATATACAAGCGTTTAGGCCAGATCGGATTTTTTTTGTTTCTCTGAGCGGCAGATATCTGATTAAGTTTCTATGGATTCCCAACCAGAAGATTGAGCGACTTTGCTTTTTTTAAATGGCTACAACTTTGTACGCTTATCCACACCTGATATGAACTTTCCGGTCTGCCTACAGTCATCCTTGTTTGCGCCATGTTTCTGCCAGTTCCCCGTATGCCCAGTGTTCCAGAGCGGTATTGAATTGAACAGGTGTCTGCAGCGGTTAGAGGTAAATGCATGAGCCCCTGGCCCTTAATTTTGTCTGGGAATCTGCTTTATCTTCAATTCACCGTTATGATCGGGTACTTATAACAGCTGTGATGAAGAAAGGTAGATCAGTCTTTTCAATGCAGAGACGTGTGACCATTAGCATTACAAGTTCATTACGACGACCGGCTTTATCACCAGAATTGCTCGGAAATCTCAGTTCTACAACTTTTATAACCCATAACTAATGTCTGCAATTTGTGAACATCGTAAACCTAATGGATCCAGGTTTTAAACATCGATACCGTTAATGTTGCATGTGTCATAAACGGTGATATTTATAGTAGATAAAATTCTAATTGGAACAGTGAGAAACCAGAATTTCCAACAAAGACATACCGATGAGATGGATAGACACATGGAGTAATGAAACACCTGGAACTTCTCCCGTGGTTTTCATGCTGGTCGGATTCCGTGATTGACTGCTCAAATGAAACCACATAGGGCGCTTTGCCCGAGGGGGGCCCTGCTAATTTTTTCAACGGGTCGAGTAGGCAAGCTGAAATTCGGGGAATGGAATTGATGTATGTATATTGAACTTAAGCGTAAACGTGGCAGTTGAAAATTTCAGGATTGAAGGAGGGTCATGCAATACCTCATTTTGAAGCTCTTTTATAACCAATTAATATAAAATCACCACCTTAGAAACTGGTCACCTATCAGAAAGTCAAAGTTGAACATTCCAAACATTGAATCGCTTATAACTCAACAGCCAATCTTCAGAAGGGCGACGTCGCCAATAACATGTATTTCAAACATATGTGTTTCATTCAATGGGTAGACAATCATGAGGTCCTAAATACACTTTTTTATTATCTGCTGTACCACATTTCATACTTAACGATGGCTCCGGTTTTTTTTCTCTTTCAATTAGGATAGATCTACTAGTGAAATAATTAAAGTATGTCTTATAATATCGACAACTAGGTTTAAGGAATGGCGAGTAATGCTAATGCAATAGAATTAATTCAACATGCCTGCAGGTAGATGTAAATTTTATCAGTTTGTGATCCAATACTGAGATAACGACATGAAAAGCTCTAGATGTGAGTTTAATTTGTTGGGAGGCTAGCTAGATAATAGCAGCGTTGCCACATCAACATTCCAAGCTGCTTTGGCTTTATAAAGGTATGCACCACGAATAAGTTTCATTGCTGTGTCGATATACATGAAAAATCAAATTCAAAATAGATTGTTGAGATTGTTTAAATCAGGCTAACTTATGTGAATATGATGCATTTGATTTTTATCTTTGAGACCATAGCCAACCACATACAACATTGTTTCAAGTTTTTAAGCAATCATCAGTATGATATAGGTCTAACTATTGCAGACAGGAAACGAATTGCAAACAAGCCACTATTGGGTCTACTGAAAATTGAGTTTTGCGGTGCTAAAAGGCCTTCGTACAGATCCTTACGCCGGCAGCAATAAACTACATACATCTCTCCTTCTCATGTTAGAAGCTTTGACATAAGTTACATAAACTAGACAAAGGCTGAACCGAATCTGATATATATTTGTAACAGGTGCTCTCATCCACGCCTTCGTTTTGGAACACCATTTGGCAACCTCAACGACGAGTAAGTTGTCTAACAATTCAAATCCTTCCCGTATTGGTTGCTAGCATCATAATTGTGTTTTCAGCTCCTGAAGATGGCTCCATAGAGAATGTCGAAAGCTCGAGGATACCGTTAAAAGAGTTGACTAAAGCCCAAAAAGTTTGAGAATATCCCAATTAACAATTAATTGTATTTTTTGCCCAACCTGGTCATTGGCAATGGCAATGATTACTGCTCACATAATATATATATATATATATATATATACAGGGTGTCCGCAAAGTTGGGATTTTCCTTTTCAGAAACAACTAACCTTGAAATAACAAACGTAATGTGTAGTGAAACGGGGGCGACCAAGTAAAAAAAAATAAAGGAAAAAGTACTCACTCTCCAGTTGACGAGAAGGGCTAAGTACGTCTCTGCCCGAAATCATACCGCTCCAACAGAAAATGAAATCAGCTGAAGCGCTACCGAGCAGACGCAGAAACCACATTGATTGCCTTACACTTAATGACACATCTTCTAACAAGGAAGGCAAAATGTTGCGTGAAACGTCTAGGTATTGCATCCCGTCCAATCGATTTGGGAGAATAAATGGTCCAATGAGCATACCGTTCACCATGCCAGCCCAAACATTCACCGAAAATGTTTGTTGAAAATGTGCCCGACGGACAGCGTGCGGATTTTCTACTGACCAAACATGAGTGTTGCGAAAGTTATTCACCCCATTACGCGTGAACGTAGATTCGTCTGTCACCAATATGCACTTCAAAAAGTCCGGATTATTGTCATGTTGATGCAACAACCACCCACAAAACCGCACTCTTGCTGAAAAATCGTCAGGTTGAAGGGCTTGTATACGTTGGACGTGAAACGGATATGCAGCGTTTGCCACACTTTAGTTTTTGATACTTGTACTTATCTAGCCACGTCTCTAGTGCTTGACCGTAACCGTCGGTTGAAGTTTGCATACTAACCTGACACACTGTGTCGGTGATGTCCCGGGTCGCGGCTACAGGTCGGTATTCAGATATTTTTGATGTTGCAGAGCCCTTTATCTCGGTTCCCTTAAGACATTGGTGTATATGGTACTAAGAAAAATTGCTTATGTTTTCAAGATCTGCACGTCGTGTAAAGGAAAACCCCAACTTTGCGGACACCCTGTATATATATATATATATTTGAATTTCCATCAAAATTATAACATCCTAGGCCACTGCCTTTGTGTAGATCTAGAGGCAGATCTCTCTGTTCCCAAAGATGCCTTATAGTGATGGTATTCCTTTCGCTGCTCTTTTCCATTTTGCTACTCGACTATATCGTTCAACCTTTACATGAAGTTTCATAATCCTGTCACAGAACAGGCCGTGTGTATATTGTTCTTTGAATTTCGATTCCAAACGTTCTGCTTTTTTTAAATTGTTTTGTCTGCCCTGCTTTGATTGATAGGTCCAATATTCTAT